AACATCACATTCCGAGGTTCAGGCGTGCATTGTGGGCAACCCTTGGCAGCCATTACACGGCCCTCGTGTGGTTTTTCTCACCACTGCTCTGCGGCTCTCAGAGCACAGGATGGGTCTGAGCCACAGCCCAGCTGGCTGGCCGGCGAGCCTGCGTGCCAGGCACCTTGCTGCCCTGGGAACGCCCATCCTCTCTTGTGGGGTCACACCAGCATCTCCTTACCCCTGTGCGCCGTGCACCCACGCACCAGGGCCCGGGCCCACATGTGCAGTTGCATTCAAGGCACCCTCGAGGAACTCTGGGGGTCTAACTGGCCTCCCTGGCCTGACACTCGGCCCGCTGCCTGTGTTGAAGGCAGCAGCTGCTGGCCGCTGGCCACCTCTGGGCTGGAACTCACTCTCTTCAGGGGAAGAAAAGGGCTTCGAGCTTATCATCCAAGCTTTGACTCATGATCTGACAGGAGGGAGCCCCACCTTCGAGTGGTTCTTCCCGGTTGGCACCTGATGACGTCGAGCAGCGCGGGCACAGCCGAGGCCGCGGGTGCAGTGTGATGGGGATGGCTGCAGCACCACCGGTGGGCTCCGTCTCTGCTGACCGCTTGAACTGAGGTCCTCGCCCATTGGGTGAATGTCTGAGGGAGGAGGAGGGTGAGGAGGGGCTCCCCAGATCTTTCTAGGAGTTCTGTGTGCGGCACAGGCACAGAGAGGACCTTGTCGGCCTGACAGCCTCCCAGGGCGGTGGCCGGGGAAAGCGGCAGCTTCCCTACGTCTGCTGGGTATCAGGCACCTCCACGCCTTCTGGGGGTTGAGAGGAGGGCACCCAGGACCCTCCAGCAACTCCCTCCTGATCTTGGCTGACGATGAATGTTGTCATCCTTCTCGGTAGACTGTCACCAAGCCCAAGTGCTTCCATTTTGTGCACCCATCCCTTCCCAGGCCACCTTCCAGGTGCTGTAATCCCCGTCAAGATGGTGCATCACTGGACCCAAGGCTGAGCGCCAGCACCCACACGTCATCCCAAGCCCAGGGTTTGTGGGGTGACCCACGGGTGCACCTGACTTGGCAGGCTCTGGAGGGTCATGGGTTGCACTGGCAGGGATGCAGCCCAGAAGACAGTGAGAAGGTGGGGGTGGGGAGGACCATCATCGCGTTTAAAATCCGATGTGACTAGTTGATTTGCAGCTGTCAAAGCCACTGCAAATCAGTGGGTGGGTAGCCGAGCGACTTGGGGAAGGAGGGACAGTGCTGTGAGGTCATCTCTGAGGCCGTTGGGGGAAACACGGATGTGGGCGCCCAGGGTGGCTCTGTCCAGCTGGGGCCGTGCAGGGAGGGGGCAGCAGACAGGTGGGGTAGGTGAAGGCCCAGGGCCCTTCGGAGCATTGGGCCCAGGGGCAGATATGGCTGGGATCTGAACTCTCCCTGTGACTTTGGGCAAATGACTCTCCCCCTTCCCCTCCCCCAGCGGTTTCATATCTCTAAATCGGGACAATTTTAGCCACCCAGAGGCTTGTGGTTAGGACCAGAGAGGTCACAAGTGAAAGTGCCCAGCGGTTTCTGGCCCCCCGGCCACGCTCGGCCATGCTCGGCCGTCACGTCTGCTGTGATTGTCTCCCTGGCTGGGCAACGCTGGCTGCCTCCTCTGCAAAGGTGGGAGATGTGGGAGTCGGACATGGCTGACGATGAAGATTTGGGGACTTTTAAAATAATTTTAGACTTTTCTCAGAAGCATCTCAGCAACGATGTTGTGTTACTTTTAGTTTTATTCCCTCTCTTTATCGTGCTAAAATGCACAGAACATGAAATTGCCATTTAAACCATTTAAAAGTGAAAAATGCGCTGTAATTCTCAGTGTTATGCAACAGAACACATCTGTGACCCCAAAAGGAATGCCCCACACTCAGCGGCTGCTCCCCACTCCTGTCCAGCTGTAGGTAACCCGTGGCTAAAGCTAAAAGACTGTTACAGGTGGTGTCCCCTGGAGGGGGTTGCTGGTGAAGGTAGATAACCCCAGGGAAAACGCTAAAAAGTGGGGTGGAGGGACTGGTAAAAAATATAAGTGACTGCAGAAGGGGGCGCAGATTCATTCAGCGTTTCGGCGGGATTCAGCATTTGGGGTCGGCGGATTTGGGCCCCCACGGCGCCCATCTTCCAGAAGGCTGTTGCCGGTCTCTGAAGGCGGAGGCTTCCAGCAGCCAACCTCAGAGAGGAAGAGTTTGGAGGCTTTGCAAGTAGCCGAGCGATTGAAACTGTTTTCTGGTTTTGCTGCTGTTGTGGCCTGGCAGAGAAGGCGACCACCCAGAGCCACGCGTCTTACTGAGACGCGTGAGTGTGGCTGTTGGTCGGGTCACGTGACCGCCGTAGCTGTTGTTTTGAGTGTCGCTTGTCTGGTGCTGTGCTGGGGCATCTAGACAGCTCAGGGAATATCTGTTGTGTCTTTTGCTGTCTTCGTGAGTCAGAACCTGGCCTATAGTCTGGCCGCCGCGTGTCCGCAGTGGCAGGAAGACGCCATTTTAACTGGACACAGCTTTGGGTGAGGTAAATGGCCATTTTTGGCCTCAGTAACTCCCCCCCCCCGTTTTGTTAAATAAATCCCTTTGCTGTTGTTCCCTGACCCTGGGTAGTCTTACAATTGTGCACATGGGTAAAGAACTCAGACAGTGACTGGTAAACTATTTGGACAGTGTCCTTGGCCAGTTTCAGTGCCCCTTGCTGCCCTATACCACAGCTCCCGGTCGCCGCTGACCTGCTTTCTGGGTCTATGGATTGGCCTGTTCTGGATTTGGCACCTAAATGGGATGGCACTGCTGCGGTCTGTATTCATGACTGGCGAATCCAATTACTCTCCTAGTGTCAAGAGCCATCCACATTGCAGCTCGGATTCACCCCTTTTTATTCACCCCTTTTTATAGTGCACACTGTGGACAGACTAGGTAATTCGGCAGTGAGACCTGGAGGGGCCCAGGGCTGAGGCTTGATGGCAGGGACGTCGAGGCCACCGCCGTGACCGGCAGCTCTGTAAAGTACCAGCCAGGAGGAGGGTCCTCACTGGAGTGGGGACTGTACTGAGAGTAGACAGAGTACTCAGAGGCCACTCGGGGGCTTGCCTCTGGGAAGCAGACTCCTCTGGAGGTTTTCTCTGTGGAGCCAGAAAGGCAGCTGCTCGCCAGGAGGGAGCGATGGCCCAGGCATGCTGAAAGGACCCGGGCAGGAGCCTGTTCGCAGGGGCAGCCAGGCCTCTGCAGGCGGCCCCCAGAGGCGCTGCTCAGACTGCGGTGGTCCCTGGAGCACGTTCCGGGCGGGGTTAGCGCCCCGGGATGCGGCGCTCAAGGCTTGCAGAGGAAGAGACGCCTCCCTAAGGCAAATGCAGTAGTTGGAAATTATTCCATTATGAAAAGGGTGTCCCGAGGGGGAGGGCGACCGTCTCGATTTCCTAAACGCTGCACACCAGCTGTTCTGGAACTGGCAGGCGCCCTTAGGTTTCTCCCAGCGGCTCTGGGTGCCACGCTGCTGGGGACGCGGTCTCCAAGCCCGCAGGCTGCAGCCCCGCAGCGCCCGCAGCCCCAGCGCCCGCAGCCCTCGGTGCCCGCAGCCCACGGTGCCAGCAGCCCACGGTGCCAGCAGCCCTCGGTGCCCGCAACCCGCGGTGCCAGCAGCCCCGCAGCGCCCGCAACCCGCGGTGCCAGCAGCCCCGCAGCGCCCGCAACCCGCGGTGCCAGCAGCCCTCGGTGCCCGCAGCCCTCGGTGCCCGCGGCCCTCGGTGCCCGCAGCCCACGGTGCCAGCAGCCCCGCAGCGCCCGCAACCCGCGGTGCCAGCAGCCCTCGGTGCCCGCAGCCCTCGGTGCCCGCGGCCCTCGGTGCCCGCAGCCCACGGTGCCAGCAGCCCCGCAGCGCCCGCAGCCCACGGTGCCAGCAGCCCCGCAGCGCCCGCAACCCGCGGTGCCAGCAGCCCTCGGTGCCCGCAGCCCCGCAGTGTTCACAGCCCGCGGCGCCCGAACCCCTCGGTTCCGCGCCCCTCGGCGTCCGCAGCCCTCGGGGTCCGCACCCCGCTGTGCCCGCAGCCCGCAGCCCGCAGCCCCGCAGCCCGCAGCCCCGCAGCGTCGGGGGCGGCGCGGCCCCGGGCGGGGGGCGGAGCCGCCGCGCGCCCTCCCCGCCCCGCCCCCGCCCGCGCGCGCGCACCTGGAGCGGGGCCGGGCGGCGGCGTGCGCGGGCCGCGCGTGCGCGCTGCGGCGGGCGAGGGGCGGCGCGGGCGCGCGTCTGTCAGTGACAGCGGGCGGGGGAGGGCGCGGGACGGCGGCGCGGGCGGCTCTTCCGACATGAGGCAGCGGCCGCGGGACGCTCGGCGGCGGCGGCGGCCGCGGCGGCACCTCTAGCTCCCGGCGCCCGGCGTGGGCGGCGCGGTCGGCGGCGCGGGGCCGGCTCTGCGGCAGCGCCGCGCTCGGGCCGCCGGCTGAGGGGCCGCCGGCTGAGGGGCCGCCGGCTGAGGGGCCGCGGGCTGAGGCGCCGCGGGCTGAGGGGCCGCGGGCTGAGGCGCCGCCGGCTGAGGGGCCGCGGGCTGAGGCGCCGCCGGCTGAGGGGCCGCGGGCTGAGGCGCCGCCTGCTGAGGAGCCCGCGCCCCGCCGAGCGCCGGCGTCCGGGTCGGCCGAGCCCCAGGCCGGGGCGGGCGCGCGGCCGGAGCAGGCCCGCGGGACGGCATGACGGGCCGCGCGCCGCCGCGCGGGGCGGCGTGAGCTGCGGGCTGGACCCGCCCCGGGCCGGCGCGCGCCGGGAAGTGCCCGCGGGCCCCGAGGCGGCCGCCCCGCGCGGAGTCGGGCGCGTCCGGGCGGCCCGGAGGTGGGACGGCGCCAGCCCGGGCCGGGCGGAGCCGCGAGTCCGGGTGAGCGCGGGGTGGCGGGGCCGGCTGCTCGCCCCGCGGGAAACGGACGGACGGACGGGCGGGCGGACGGGCGGGGCGGGCGGGCGGCGGCGGCCGCGGCCGCGGGTGACTCTGGCCGTCTCGCCGGCAGGTACTCGTGACCCGGCCCGGGAAGGCGCCCGGAGCGCGGCAACATGGCTTCCCCGCCCCACCAGCAGCTGCTGCAGCACCACGGCACCGAGGTGAGCTGCGACTCCAGCGGCGACAGCAACAGCGTGAGGGTGAAAATCCACCCCAAGCAGCTGTCCTCCGGCAGCCAGCCCAAGCGCTGCAAGTACAGCATCTCCTCCAGCTGCAGCAGCTCCGGGGACTCCGGCGGGGCGCCCCGCAGGGTGGGCGGCGGCCGCCTGCGCCGGCAGAGGCGGCTGCCCCAGCTGTTCGAGCGCGCCTCCAGCCGCTGGTGGGACCCGAGGTTCGACTCGGTGAACCTGGAGGAGGCTTGCCTGGAGCGCTGCTTCCCGCAGACCCAGCGCCGCTTCCAGTGCGCGCTCTTCTACGTGGGCTTCGCCTGCCTGCTGTGGAGCGTCTACTTCGTGGTGCACATGAGGGCCAGGCTGACGGTCACGGCGGCCCCCGCGCTGTGCCTCCTCGTGCTGTGCGTGGGCTTTTTTCTGTTTACCTTCACCAAGCTGTACGCGCGCCACTACGTGTGGACCTCGCTGGCGCTCACCCTCCTGGTGTGCGCCCTGACCCTGGCCGCCCAGTTCCAGGCCTTGACGCCTGACTGGGGCCGCCTGGACAGCTCCAACCACACGCCCCCCGCCCAGCCCGCAGACACTTGCCTGTCTCAGGTGGGGAGCTTCTCCATGTGCATCGAGGTGCTGCTTCTGCTCTACACCGTCATGCACCTGCCTTTGTACTTGAGTGTGTTTTTGGGGGTGGCCTATTCCGTTCTTTTCGAGACCTTTGGCTATCACTTCCGAAACGAAGACTGCTTCCCCTCGCCTGGGGCGGGGGCCTGGCACTGGGAGCTGGTGAGCCGGGCCCTGCTCCACGTCTGCATCCACGCCATCGGCATCCACCTGTTCATCATGTCCCAGGTGAGGTCCCGGAGCACCTTCCTCAAGGTGGGCCAGTCAATCATGCACGGGAAGGACCTGGAAGTGGAAAAAGCCCTCAAGGAGAGGATGATCCACTCCGTGATGCCCAGGATCATAGCCGACGACCTGATGCGACAGGGCGATGAGGAGAGCGAGAGCTCCGTCAGAAGGCACGCCACCGCCAGCCCCAAGAACCGGAAGAAGAAGTCCTCCATCCAGAAGGCCCCCATCGCCTTCCGCCCCTTCAAGATGCAGCAGATCGAGGAAGTCAGCATTTTGTTCGCGGACATCGTGGGCTTCACCAAGATGAGTGCCAACAAGTCAGCGCATGCCCTGGTGGGCCTCCTCAACGACCTGTTCGGGCGCTTCGACCGCCTGTGCGAGGAGACCAAGTGCGAGAAGATCAGCACGCTGGGGGACTGCTACTACTGCGTGGCCGGCTGCCCCGAGCCCCGCGCCGACCACGCCTATTGCTGCATCGAGATGGGCCTGGGCATGATCCGCGCCATCGAGCAGTTCTGCCAGGAGAAGAAGGAGATGGTGAACATGCGCGTGGGGGTGCACACGGGCACCGTCTTGTGCGGCATCTTGGGCATGAGGCGGTTTAAGTTCGACGTGTGGTCCAACGACGTGAACCTGGCCAACCTCATGGAGCAGTTGGGAGTGGCCGGCAAGGTCCACATTTCCGAGGCCACCGCCAAATACCTAGATGATCGGTACGAAATGGAGGACGGCAAAGTCTTTGAGCGTCTGGGGCAGAGCGTCGTGGCCGACCAGTTGAAAGGTACGTGCCTCCTCACTTCCTTCCCCGCTCCTGTCAGAAGCAGGCAGTCCCTCCTAGCAGGCCTGTCTGCGGGGGTTGGGGGTTGGGGCGCGGGGCACCTCAGCTGGGGCCTCTCGGATGGGGTGAGGGAGCGGGGAGAGCACTGACCCCGGGGAGATGGGGAGGAGGGCGAAGGCTGCCTCGTGGCCGGGACGCTGATATCCTGGGGCTGGACACCCGGATCCCTTGGGCAGTCAGCTGGGGCAAGCCTGAAGAGACAGCCTTGGTATTCACGTGCTCGCCCCCCACGGCTTCACCCCCAAACAAAGCCCTTCTCCCCTGCAGGCTTTGTGTTGCTCAACCCCTAGGGGCCCTTGAGCCCCAGGGCCTGCACACCCCTCGGAGGCGTCTTTAGCTGGAACGCTTCTAAAAAATTCCAGCTTCCGGCTTTCATCTGCTGAGTGATGCTCTCTCCCCGCGGCATGTGTCTCCCTCCGGGCCGGGCACCTTAGCGCCTTGGACTTGGCCGGCCCCAGGGTGGATTGAAAGTAGGAAAGGCAGCCAGAGCCGCGCAGGCACCGCTCGCCGCCCCCGGAGAGTCCCGACCCGCGCGGGTCCGACGCTCCCAGCTGCTCCTCATGTCTGCGCTGGGCTGCTGCTCTCCTTTTTCACTTTATAAGAACAGAAGTCTTTGAGGTCGGAAAGTAGGTGTAAATAAGTAGGGCCAAAAATAAGGATTCTAAATAAATTACCCCCCCCCCTTAAACAGTCCTTATGTTTTACTAAAGTCTTCCAGACCGAGGGAAACATCTGTTTTGGAGGCGTGGAGAGAATCATATGAAAAGGCCACGTTTGTGAAGTTGCACTGGGCTTGGTGGCGCCCAGTCTGTGTTAGGGCGAACAGCCCCAGGAGAGCGACTCCTCCCCGGGGGCGCCTCAGTTTCGGTCTGAGTCGGGAGCGTGACGTTGTAGAGCAGAGAGCGAGGCTGAGTTCTCGGGCTCGCCCAGGCCGCGGCCCTGCCGTCACCCCGTCTTCCCGGTCGGTCTTTCTGTCCTGTGATTGGCGTGTGTCACGTCGTTTACTTACTCGTGGTTTTTAGCCTCTCTTGATTTTTAGAAATTTTATTAATTTTCCTGGTAGCTGGAGGATTGCTGCACGGAGGATATAAACTATTTCCACCCGGTGTTCCTCTCCCCGGAGAGTTCCCAGTGCGTCGTGGATGAGGTTGGGCAGTCACCGGACAAGTGTCTCCCCTCTGCTCTGGAGTCCACAGGTGCCCACTGGGTGGGGTGCAATGGAACCCCTGCTGGGCATTTGGGCATGAAGACCCCAGTGTTGGGTTGGGTCTCTGGAGAACAGAGCTGTGCTGACTCAGGAAAGTTGGACCCAGGGCCAGGGAAGGCAGTGACGTAAGTTGCACTTCGCACTGTGTGTTGCTTGCATTTCAAAAATAAAAGCAGGTGTGATCATTCAGTCTGCTGGAAGTCACCACGTCTGTGGCGGTGCCAGTTTTGTTACTTTGTGGGCACTGTGAGTTTATAGATCAAGGACCTCAACGACAATGACCCCAAAATGTGCTAGAATGGGTTTGTGGATCTTTTTAAACTTCAGATGCGTGGGCTTGGTAGATGAGCCTTGTGTCCTCTGTTCATGAAGGGACGGTTTTTGTCCTGGATGGGAGGGAGGCAAAGAGAGGCGCTCAGCCAGGCCAGCAGACTTTCAGGTGGTTACGGGTGTCTCCCTCCCGGGCTGTTTCCCGGAGCCCACGGTTCTTGCCGCGATTGGCCGGCGTGGAGACCCTTCAGGCGGAGCTCCCGAGCCCGACGTCTGCACAGCTCCCGGCCCTCTTGGAACTGTGCAGTTCGATCCTCCTGACATCACGCAGATCTGCCAAATTGTGCTGATCGCATCGTTTGTAAAGACCCTTTCCTGCGCGTGGGGGAGCTTGCACAGAGAAGAGTTCCTTCAGCCTCCGCCTCGGCTTTGAACAGCCGCTTCCTCTGAACACTTCGGTGTCAGCCTTTACCGCTCCATTTCCTTTTCTGGTAAAGGGGTTAATAGACTGTGTTGAAATGAACGTGGGCTGCGTGTGCGCGGGTTCCAGAAGGGCCTGGCTGGTGGAGGAGCCCCCTCCCCTGCAGTGTGCCCCGGGGCTCTGGGGGCGGGCGGGCTCCCCTGGCCACTGCACCTTGACTCACTGGCTCAGGAAGCTTTACTGTGGGGGTGCCATGCGCCTGGCACCGTCGATGTGACTTCAGGACCTCTGCACCCTCCCCGAGATGGGTGTTGTCATAGAGCCCATGAGAGGCAGGGTGCAGTGGGGTGCACTTACTTGAGGGGTGGATGGAGTGTGGGGGCTGGCGGTCAAGCCTGGGCGCTCCCTCCAGGCAGAAAGGGAATAGAGGGCCAAAGGCTGGCGGTTATGTTTCTAGGGGCAGGGGCAGTGCAGTAAGCGGCTCGAGGGAAGGCTTCCACTCCTCTCCTAGCGGGGGCACCGGTAGACTCCTAGCTGGAGGCTGGTGGACCTGGAGGGACTGGGCTCTTTGGAGTAGGCGCTGATTTGGAAAGCTCCCTCCTTCAGTTCGGGGGGAATGTGGTCTGGGAGCGTGAGACTGGGCTTGGGGAGCTGTTCCGGGTCTCCCAGGCAGGGTGCTGACCCGGCAAGCTGATCACAGAGGTGGTGGAGGCGAGGGGGTGGGGAGGGTGTGGGGGGGGCGGGACCAGCAGTCAGTTTGAACAGAGGGGGGCTGGGTGGGGGTATGGGGCCGGGTGAGGCCTTGACAGAGTCAGCTTTGCAAGTTTCTGGAGTTAACGGAGATGGTTTGCTGTCAGGACCCGGCCCGTGGCCTCTGAAGTTTCTGTGGAGTGACGGGGATCCAGGGTAGAGTGGCAGGAACCCTGATTTGTTTATTCATTCAACAAGCGTTCTGTACCTTTGCTGGGCACAGTCCTAGGTGCTGGGGATACAGCCTTGAACTAGACAGACAAAAACTGCTGGCTTCAAGGGTGTGTGTGTGTGTGTGTGTGTGTGTGTGTGTGTGTGTCTTTAGATCAAGGTAGCTACTCATTGAGAAAGAGTTGAAAGATTTTTCAGCACAGGACTGGGATTTTGGAAATGGTTCAAAGAGTGGAGGACAATCACTTCGAAACAAGCAGAAGGGGTCTGATTTGGGGGATGGGAAGGCGGGCCCCTCCGTTGCATTTGGGATGAGCCATTGGGCCTTGGGGGGGGGGGTGGCGAGCTTTTCTCTCCTGCTTTGGGCCATAAGCAGAGATGGTGAGGCTGGTCTAGAACTGCTGGTTTTTCCTGTGCTAGAAAGAAGGTGACGAAGACAGAAAGTGAAACCGTCAGAAAACATCTGTAGACACCTCCGTTCCCCTCTCAACATCAGGAACCAGAAGCAAGGTGCCCAGTCCCCCAGTTCCACACCAAGGATCCTGTCTTTGAAGAGGGGAGTTTCCAGTAGCCTTACCTTGTCAGATGCAGAAATAAAGCAGAGCAAACCCCTCAAGCCAGGCTTGTAGCTCACGGAGCACCCGGGGAGCCATGGCTGGCGTGCACTGGGACAGGTGCTGCCCGCTGGCCACCGTGGTGACCGAGACCTTAGTCATGTGCTAATAGGTGGCACAAGAGCCCCTGTCTTGCCTCATCTGAGGCCGTTGCTGACAATTAGCTGTACCCAACTGGGAGTCGGGGCGCCCAGGCTCCTGAGGCAGATTTCCAGAGGACTCTGCTTGCCCTGCTGCATCCCTTGCCTCAACCGTGGCTTGGCTGGCAGGTGCCCACTGGTACCTGCAAGCTCGGTCCCGCCACATGCTCTTGTGTGATCGCTCAGCCCCCTGAGTCACGTGGAGGAGAGCTGCATGCTGCGTGCTGCCTGCACTTTCCAGCGAGGTCTCTTGTGCACATGAGGCACAGCCTCTTGGGGAGCAAGGGCCTAGGGAAGGTGAAGCAGAGCATCTGATTGACAACTAGGCTCCGAGAGCACAACCAGCAGGGCCTCACACTCGGGCAGCCCTGAGACAGTTTATCAGGCTCCTTCAGACCAGTTCTGTGGCTCCTGGGGGGCCCAGGGCCCTTCCTTCTGTGGACACCTCTGGAGCAGAGTTAGCCCTCGGCAAGGAGAGTGAAGCCCAGGGTTGCTGAGTTGCGGTGGAAGGAAGAAGGCCCGAGGGTCATCTTTTCAGGCAGAACTGCTAAGAAAGGAAAGTTTTAAAGGAGCAGATAGAATAAAGCAGTGTCAGGATCCCTTCCGCTAGCCAGCCTGTGTCACGCATCAGCCGTGTTTCTCCCTGTGGCCAGTGTGGTCTGTGTGGTTTGCTGTGGAATAATCTTGGGAAAAATGCACCGAATGTTCTGTCATGACCATGAGCGAATGTGTCCCATGCATCCCATGTTTTCCTTTTCCTGCTGGTGGGCGGTTCTGCGCTGGGGTGGTGTCCAGAGCACCCGGCATCGGCCCTCACATCCCGCAGGCTGTCAGCATGAGGCCGCGTGGCTCCTCGCCTGTCTGCCCTGGTGGCCTGGGCGTCCCCTCTGTGCTGTGTGATGGGCGCCTCCAGGCCATTTTCCCCAGCAGCGACTGGCCCCCTGGGAGGGAACGTATAAAGAGGTGAGAGAGTTTGAAATAGGAAGGTTTGGAACGGCTGTGGGAGGTCCGGACTGGCCAGGCTGAGGTGTTACGGGGACTGGGTGTGTTGGGTGTGTGGAGGCTGCCCCAGGGGCCAGGCACCCTGGGAACTCGCCCAACTGCAACTCAGCTGCCTGCTGCATCTCCCCAGAGTCTGCTAGAGAGCGAGTGGGAGCCAGGGGCGACCGGGGAGGGTGGCATTCTGGGACTGGGGTCACCAGAAGTGGCTGTGACAGCTCATGAGCCTTCTTTAAGCCAGCGGCCCTCAAATTTTATGGTCTCAGGATCCCTGTACACCCCCTAAAAATGACTATGCCCACGGCATGTTGGTGTAAATGACCCATTTTATAACATGAGTGGATCTTAAAAAACCTTTTTTCAGAAGCAAA